TGAGCTTGAAGTACAGCACAGTATGTGGAAAAATAGAGGTAGATAGTTATTTGTGTTATGCAACAGTCCCCCCAAATGGGCAGCTGTACCTTTCCAGATGTTTTAGACTTGGAATTCCCATAATGCCTTACCACTGACGACACTGTTAGACCTGATCTGAGTTGCCTGTAAAAAAAAAAAACATCTAGGGGGCCCTAGTTAACTACTCCTGAGGATAACTTATCTAGAGGGTGTGAACACAAGAAAGATTTAGACAGAATGCAGAAACTCCTAGAAGAAATGCTGTCTCTGACAAGAGGACAGATTTGTCCCAATACATTTCTGTGATGGGTCCCATTCACTTTTATTGCTTCATTTGCTATTATTGTTCCTTCTTTTCAGTAATAAGGGATTAAGTGTATGTGAGGAAACTACCGCACATTGCTGGCGACAGACCAGTTTTGAGTCCAAGCAAAGTCGATGTTTATCTGATTAATATTTTGTGCCTCTTTTCCCAAACCCTGGTCTCCTTTTGACAGGGCCTGTCGTCTTCCACCTCCTTCTTGACAAAGTGGGGTCACTACTTCTTCCTCAGTCAGAGAGACTTGCCAAAGGATGAACTCTCCTCATTAGAGACAGAGGCCACCGGAGTCTCACTTAGATATATACCATCCCCAATCCCCTGCATTCTTCTCACTGTTTCTGAAAGTGATAGGTGAATATAGTTTGTAGATGAAACAGCACCATCCACTTTGTGCAGCAGGGGACATGGAGGAAGCCTGCAAATTAGCAGAAACATTTAGGGGAGAATTCCCAAGGAGGGGGCAACGCAGCTCCCCAAACAGCCTGATGAGGATTGAGTGTGCTAAAGATAACAGAACGTTGACTGTGGTGAGAGGGAATGGAAGTAGGGGAGGAAGTACAGCACTTAATACTGTACTTGGTTACCAGTCCAACTTGTGGAATTCTGATCTTTTCAGCTATTAGAGCACACAAGCAAGGGCTGATAAATTCCCCTCCCAGATTACAGTGTGAATTAAATGTGTGATCTGTTGGAGCATGGAAGCCAGCACCCCCATACCCATCCACCTGCCTAGCTACCTACTTTCTATTCCTCCTTTCTTTTCCTCTCTTCTTCAGCTGATAAGCCTCTTCCAACAGCTTATTTGCAAGAATTGAAATTTAGCACTTTGGGGTTTTTTGTTTTTGTTTGGTTTTTTTGCCTGAGGAAAACTTTATCTTTTACTTGAGAAGGTTAAGTGTCAAAGGCTGAGAAATTCTGCCCATTAGTCTAAATATAGGGCAACATTGCAGACCCTTGTGGGGGAAATGGGGGGGGCAGAAGGTTTTTGCATTGTTAGAATACTGGTTTTACCGATTGGATGCAAAGAACAAGGCAGTACCTCCCTCGTAATGCATGCGCAAAAGCCAGCTGGATTGGCATTTGAATATTTCTTTAGCCTTGGCAATATGAAAGCTTCCTTCACCCTACCTGGACACAGGACACGTCTTGGGGGGGGGCAAGCTATGTAGCATCCAGTTCTCTCCTCCAACACCTCGCTGCTGCTTCCTTGCACCTGGTGTCTTCGACCACCATCTCATTGTGTAATGGTAAAACCAGCTCTGATGAAAACACATCTGTTTCTCAGGATATGCCAAGAAACACCTGATAGCAGAGGAGTGAGGATGGATCCAGAGAAGGAATGGCTCCACAGTAGACCTTGGTGAGGCAACTAGCTAGAGATCTGGGCAACTGCCAGATTGGAATTTACATATTCACTCCACAAATTGTCACCATGCACAATGCAAGCAAGGGGGTGGCAGCCACAAGGAAGTTCAGTTGCTCCCTAATTGCCCTCAAAATTAAGTGTTTAAACCACGGATATGGGACATATTTTCTGTGAGCAAGGGACAGATTATTCTTGCCAGATGCTTGGATTGATCACTTGGAGGAAGCCTCAAGATAGTAAGTCTAAGGTTCCCCTACCACTTCTGTATACGCTATACCTAGGAAACTCTGGAAAGAGTTACGACAAATCAGAACTGATTTGACACCACACCATTATAATTTATAATGAAACACTACATTATATATTTTTGAGCAGAATTTTCTACATTGGAAAATTCCCACCTCTAGCAGCTCCTTAATTATACTCCCATCCCCCAAGAGTTAGTCACTGATTTTGTTATTCTCTATAAATCAACCAAAATCCTGTTACTTAGCATAGTAAATTGCGTTACACAGTAGGCCTACTGAATCAGTGGGATTTGATGAGCCAAGTCCTCCATATGTTCTATTGATACAAGTGGGCTTACTTTAACTTTAGTGGGGATATTTGAATCAATGGTACTTGTGGAACAGTTGACTCACTACATTCCCATTAATTCTATGGGTCTGCTCTAGTGAAATTTACTATGCTAAACAGGATTCTTGCCTTTATCTACTGAGCCCAGCATAAGAGGATTTGAAGGCATGCATATTTTGAACTAGGCTGCCAACATTTTATTTGTCCTGTTTTTGCACCTTAGGGCAGCAATCTAACGGAAATTAAGCACGTGAATCTTCCCCCAATGTAAAACATGAGTCAAACAGAAATATAGGTTGGCTGGCTACATTTCTGCATGTGAAGCTGCTGTTTCAGGCACAGGCCCAATATAGGTTGGTAGCCCTCCAATACACACAACATCCAATATATACCCATAGTTGTGAGGCCTGAAAGAATTGGCAACAATCACATTCCAGGAAAACCAGTCCAAACATCCTGGGAATGTAGCTAAATCCATAACAGCAATTATTAGCCTGAGCATTCTAAGTTACCTAAATGTTATTAAATGAAGCAAAGAAGTAGCCCCTTACTCCTCAAATGGAAGTCTCTGCTCTGTATCCATAACCAGACAGAGGGTTGGAGATATATCCTACTTTAATGTTAACTGTCAAATCTTGATACGTTACAGAACATCAGGGCAAACAGGATACTTCCGTATGGTTTCCTTTCTTTCCTATCACCTTTAATTCACCCCAGCTGTTAAGGTAGAAGATATATCAATATTTTCAGTATAGCACATTTGTGGTCAAGATATAATTGGGACAAAAGTGTTTGCTCACAGCTTAAAAAAACAGTCAGCAATAAGAACCATGGCCAGCCAAAATATACAAGTAACACTGGAAACATTGTTTTTTTGGACTACAACTCCCAGAATTCCCCAACTATCTTATCTAATTAGCCATGTATTTGGAACAAGTTGGAAAATTAAAATGTCTAAGTTGTGCCGTTATCATAAATGGATGTGACCAAAATAACATCTGATGCAGGGACTTTTAAGACCTTATGGGCTACAGTGGGGTCTTGACTTGAGAACTTAATCCGTATTGGAAGGCGGTTCTCAAGTCAAAAAGTCTGTAAGTCAAGTCTCCATTGACCTACAGTGCATTGAAAACCGATTAATCCCGTAACAGGCCGTTTTTGTTCCATTTTGGTTTTTTTCTGGTCTGTAAGTCAAATCTCAGTCTGCAAGTCAAGCCTAAATTTTGCGGCCAGAGAAGTCTGTAACTCAAAAAGTCTGTAAGTCAAGCCGTCTGTAAGTCAAAGGTCCACTGTACTTCTATGATTGGAAAAGGTGAGGGGAAAGTCTAAGGGCAGCTCAGGTTAAGGGAAAATGAAAAATACTGTAATTGTTTCCTTAATCATGGAAGTTGCCACTTTGATCATCTATGATTTCTATTACAGATGTTGAAATTGCACACAGACTGTTTCCCCCTCAAACCTAGTGTTTATACTGCTCCAAAGAAGAAAATATGCAGTGGGGGAAGAAGAAAAATGGTCTGTGTGTCTTTGATTTGACTATAATCTATTGTATACAGTGACATATGATCATCCTCCAGGCCACATGGCTTGTTCTTCCACTTATACATCCATCTTCAGTGGAGGTCAGAACCAAAGTACTGTACAGTAACAAATTGTTCCAAAACTCAGTATTAATTACTGAGCAGCCTTTGAGAAGCAGTAACAATGTGTGATGAGAGAAAAATGGTTTAAGATGAAATTTCATCATCTTAAGACCAAGAATGCCAGAAGAATGCCATATCCTGTGCAAACTATAATCTTCAATAAGGTGTGTAAGATACAGTAAATGAAAAGGCAGGGATGAAAAATAAGGTCATGCTAAATAGCTGAGCAGCTAGCAGTCCAGGGATCACTTGCTAAATATGATGTATCTCTCCAGGATCTTTTGGAATGTACTGAATTGGGGGCGGGGAGAGAGACAAGATACTTGACTGTCCTAGTCTCTAGGACCGTGAGCACCGGGTGTTCTAAAGCAGTGGTTCTCAAACCGTGGCCCCCAGATGTTCTTGGACTGCAATTCCCAGAACCCTTCACAGCTTGCTGTGCTGGCCAGGATTCTTGGGAGTTGCAAGTCCAAGAACATCTGGGGACCCCAGTTTGAGAACCACTGTTCTAAAGTGCATAGCCACACCAGTACCTGCAAACAGTAAAGTTCATGTCAATATATCACAGGAAGACATGAATCTTCTATCAAAACCTACACTTTCCACTGGGACACGTGAATGAGAACTATCATTGATTGATTGATTGATTTGATTTGATTTGTATCCCGCCCATCTGGTCTATGCGACCACTCTGAGTGGTTGCCTGGTATGTTCCCACTGAAATACAGTAACACAAATAGTCTCCCAGCGTTGCTTAAGGATAACTAGAAGCAGGCCCTTCATTGATCATTATCACCCATACAAATTGTTAAAGACACTGCAGTGTTTTAAGCCTGTCTCACATCCTGAAAACCACAATAAACAATTTTGACCCAATTTCTACCTTGATTCTAACTTACCTGCAATAAGGCTGTGAGGCAGGGATGTGGAACCTGTAACCCTTGACACTGCTGGACCAAGCCGGCCAGTGTCCATGGGAGCCAGAATTTAGAGGACCACAGGTTCCCTGCTCCTGCTGTAAAGACTCGCTTACAATCAGTAGCAGAAGAGACAGTAAGAGCAGACAAAAGCATGACAGTAAAGTAGACTTTATTGGAAGTGCCAAGGGCCACAACAATCAAAGCCTTCCCAGAGAGCATGAGGTCTATGTGTGCTACTAGACAACAGCTCCGCTAACAAATTCCCTGCCTCTAACACCACTAATGCATCATTACAACCACTTCTGGGGATGCAGGCCATCACCCAGGGTTCCAGTGTGCTCACAGTAGCTCCTGGTGTCACCCTCTGCTTTAGAAAAAGAAAACCATTGGTGGAACAAGAGAGATGCTTTTTAGGTGACAGGCTAGGAAAGGGCAGGGCAACCTGCTGCTCGTTGCATAACATCTTTCAAGGAGAAGGATGATGAACTGTGCAAAATGCAGCAACAGGCAAGAGGCGGATTCATTATTCCAGAGGCTTGCTTGTCATCTGAATCTGGCACCAGCCAATTCAACGGGAGAAGTCACATTTCACTTCCCAGCCAACCGTTCTTCTTTTCATTTTGTGAGGAAATATTTGAAGAACTCATACACAGACCAGGAAATAGCCGTGGAGGGCATCTGGAAGATGACACGAGCCTGTACTCCACGAAAATAGGCAGTCAGCCCGCCCACACGGTACACCGTCCTGAATGCGTGAGCCATGCCTGTAATATGCCCACTGATGTTGGTATTCATTGCCAGGGCCTCCTGGGTATTCAGCAGTGTCTTGCAAACGTCCAAGGGTGTGGTGACAGCAGCAGCAATGGCACCAGCGCAGGCACCTGCCCCCATATGGGAGCCGGGATTGTACTGTCTGTGGGGGTTGAAGTATTCCTGTAGAGATTCATATGCCATGAAATGGATGGCCTGGAAGGGGATGTTCATGGTCAGCTGAGTCGTGTAGCTTCGGTAAAATGCACTTGCCCCTTCATTGTGCCACACAGCACGCACACAGTCTGTTACTCGTTGGAATGGAGAGTTGTACATCTGCATCCTCTGCTTTACCACTGGAGACAAATGACAGGAGCAGCCCAACCACAGAGGAATGGAGAACAAAGGCAAGGGGGGGGGGAGAGAAGAAGAAAACCAAATGAGTGCAGTGACCTGAAAACTGTGCATTCTATGTAAGCAGTCCTACAGATCAGAGCCTGGAAACTTTTTTTTTAAATTGCAGCTCCCAGAATGGTCACTGCCCATATTAATTCTGGATGCTGTTGTCCAAAAAAAAATGCTCCCAAATTCTGCTGCAAATTCTTATGCTGCTGCATACAAACACAGCCCTCAAACATGTCTTAGTGTTATCTACCAAACCAGCAAATTCCACAGCATTCCACAACTTGGAAAAATCAATGATGCCACATTCCTGGGTTGTGAGAAACAGACTGAAAAGAGGAATCAACTGAAATGTGCTTGGATTTTGCCTAGAAAATTCAAGGAACATGCAGTCAGGAAAAGCTTTATGACACTGCTTTCATGCCATTTATCAACACCTGGAAGAGGGGTAGGAATGCCACACTATGTCTTCTTTACTGGAGCCAAAGTCTCTTCCATCACTACTAGAACACCAGTCAAACAACTCTTGTGCCTGTACCTTTTAACAAACATCAGAGCACCCTCTGGTGACAAGAATGGAGCACGACAAGCTGCATGAAAGCTGCAGCACGGGGGGGGGTGCAGTATTACCTTCTGCTGGGTTCATGGCTGCATCATGAAGCAATGTTGCCACACAGCCTGCTGCGCCTGCAAGACAAGGACTGTTACATGTGATGAACAGCAGAGGAGAGACCTATCAAGGTCCCCATGGATTCACAAAGTGAGACACCAGGGAAGTATATGCATGGGGGGGGAAAAGATGCTGCTCTTCCAACTAGATTCAAAAAGAGTTTCCTCAGAAAATGAATTTTCAGAAGAAACAGGAGAAATAACCAAGAATCTAATGCAGGCACTGGCTTTCCCACCTTAATCTTAACACCAACTTGTAAAAAATGGAAGAAAATGTACACAACTTCAATTATCCTTTGTGTTACCTAAGACTAAAAAAATGTCTCTCATGCAACTAGTTGGAACTCCATCACTCTCTTACTAACACATTGAACAAATTTCAATGTGATGAACTATGTTCAGAAGTTTAGGGGGGAAAAAACTAAATGCATCATCTTATTATTTCTTCAGATTATTAAGAGGTGATAAAAACAAGGTACTGTGAAGAAGCAGAAATAGCAGATGAACTGGAAAACACACAGAAAGTCTTGGGCTCCTCCCACTGAAAATTAAATTGCAAAGAAACACAGGCAGAAACATTTCTGGGACATCAGTTTTAAAGAAGCAGAAGTAAATAAAGTCAACATTGAACACAAACAGAAGCACAGCCTTCGCTCTGTTGCATTTCAGTCTCTCATCACAATAGATCTTCTGCCTGCCATTTCAGTTGTCACCCAAACCTACTGCTTTAACTTCTTCCCATCGAAATACTACTCTAGAAAAACAGTAACAAATCCTGCATTTTAACTTTATTTGTTTATTTAGCTACTACTTGGAGTTAAGCAGAAGACAGCATTTGGGAAAGCACCAATATTGAGCAAGGACAGACAAATGCCATAGCTCCTAAAGGGAACCTGGCATCTGGTTCCTCGTCTCACTCAGCCCCAGCTAGCAACATGGGGACCCCAGAATGGGGTAAGAAGGCAGGAAGGGACAATACCGTTGGCCACGTGACTATTGCCCCCAGCATGGATAATGTCGGTAAGTGTCTTTTTCAACTTTTCGTAGCAGGCGAAATACAAGGCATGGGCAGGGGCAGCCCCTGTGGCTGTGATGTTCAATCCACGCATGGGTCGCCAGATCCCTTCAGTCCGCACAATCCGCCACAGAGCCTCCAGCACATTCCGGTAGCGAGCAGCAGGTTCTGGTTGCAGGCTCTGCATCCTTGTCTGCCAGCGCAGGGAGGGGAGGCAGGTTAGATATGTCTAGGGAAACCGAGAAAGCTCTCCCCACCCAATGCTGTTTCTCTTCACTGTCCTCTTGCATTTTACTCTCTAAAACCACCACAGCCGCATACAGCTTTACGGCGTATAGTGGTTCCACAACACATGTTCTTGCCGCCCTCTTACATGCATCCTCTACTCCGCAGGAATGAATCTACAGGCCTATAGGTTTTGTTTAATTGGTTTGGAACTGCTTTATGGCCTGTAGCCCCCACCCAGTTTCTCTTACATAATGTCTGAAGTCAAATTCTGCTGAGAGATCGAAAACTGTTTTCCAAAAGAGGAGGCTTTTGGAATCTCCTTGACTGATGTCAAGGAGATTAAATGTTACTTCTCATCTGGGAAGAGAACTGCTGGAGAGCTCAGTTGGCTTCTCCACTGTGTCTCCTTGACGAGGGCTGGCCTCAGGGATCCATAGGGCCCTTTCCAGCCCTGCAGTTCTAAGATTACGTACCACGGGCGCCAATTCTTAACTGTCCTTTCAAGTTCCCAGACCAGGAACCGGCTTGGCAGCGGAAGTGTCAACCGACAACCACCTGCTGCTCCCTCCCATTCGTTCCTGCATGGTGCCCCGCGCCATTCATCCCTTCATCCCTTTGCCGTTCTGTCCAAAATCATCGTCTGCTTGGCCGATTCGGACTGGACCGGACCGACCGCCAATACGGATTAAAGAAGAACTCTAGGGAGGAACGTATACCTGCTGTCACCGTGCTCCGGTCCTGCCCAGTCTCCTTCCAATGACTTTCGGGTCTCCCTCTGTCTCAGCACTTCCAAGCGCTCCTCTTCGCGCCCCCGTCCCGGGTCCCCTCCTCCTCCTCCTTCCCTCCCCCCCCCTCGTCAATCAACCCCGCT